GCCCTTGCTACCAAGGTAGTAGCTTCTATGACAAGTCCCTTTAAGGAAGCCACTACTTGTTGCTTTTCCTCTTTAGTTGCCATGGCATATACTTTGTTCAAAGGAGGAAGTGGATCCGTGTTCAAAATTTGAGATCGAATGGTTGAGAAATTGTCATTCATTCACATCAAAAATTGGTGTATTTTCTTTGATTCTCAAGACTTCATGTATTCCTTTGCTGCTCCATATGTGCAGCTACAAGTACATATTGTTGTTGGTTCATAGGCTTGTAACTTGTCCCAAATTGGCTTCAATTTGGTGAAATATGCAACCACCATCTTGGTTTGTTGTGTGAGTGTGGCCAATTCAAGCTCCAATTCATGCACCCGCAAGGTGTTGCCTTGAGAAAAATGCTCTTTTAGATTACTCTAGATTTCATCTACCTCTTCTACATATGCATGTATAGATGAAGATTGCATCTTGAACAAGAAAAGATGAAGACCTTATCTTAGAAAATTACATCCTAGATGAAGACTACATCTTGGGAAAAGAAGAGATGAAAATGCATCTTAGAAGAAAAAGAGATGAAGACTACATCTTAAGAGAATAAGAGATGAAGTCTACATCTCGTAGAAGATAAGATGAAGACCACATCTTAGAAGTCATACCCTAGATGAAGAGTGCATCTTAGGAGAAGTAAAGATGAAAACCGCATCTTGAAAAAAAAAGGATGAAGTTTGCATCTTAGAAACTACATCATAAATGAAAACTACATCTTAGGAAGAAAAGGAGATAAAAGCCGCATATTGAAGAAGACAAGATGAAGACCGCATCTTGGGAAAAAGAAGAGATGAATATCGCATCTCAAAAAAGAAAAGAAAAAGTCCACATCTTAGAAAGACACATCCTAAACAAAAACCACATCTCTAGAAAAGCAGAGATGAAGACTACATCTTAAGGAAAAAGAGGAAGCTTTCACCTATAAATGGTTTGTCGATTACATAAAATTTTGCACATTGCATTTAGCTTAAAGCCTTTAAATAAGATAGCATCATGATGAGATCTTTCCTATTATTCTTTTCCAAGCTTAAAATTGGGTTATTCTTTTATCTTTTACTTTTCTTTTTGTAAACAAGGGGCAACTATCATAACCTAATTTTAACTAAGGGTTGAATAATAAAATTAGAAGCCAATGGGCCATTTTGTAAAAACATGAAAACTTGAAGGACTAAGAGGGAGAATTAGCAAAATGACTTCGTTCTGCTTACCCTAGCCTTCAAAAACTCCCGATCCTTCTTGCTTTCTTTTGCTTTACTGCTAACCACTCTCCAAAATTTCACAAATTCTTCTAAATCTACTCAAGTTTGGATAGATCACAGCATTAGTATGAAGAAAATTTTGGATTCGAAGTCTTCATCAAGAACTACAGAGGAAGTTTTCAAAATTGATTCCACTTGGGAGTCTTGATCTTTAAGAAGTATGAATTTAGACTTGAAAGGGGGAAGATGCGTGAAGAACTAAGTCAATTTTAGAATTCCAATTCCAAATAGGATTGGGTTATTATCTAAAATTTAGATTAGAGCTTAGGAGCATGATGAGGTTGGGGTTCTATTTTCATCTGTATAAATAGGGGTTTGTCAACTTGCGGAGGGGGAGAGATTAAGAGTGGGCAGAGAAGAATTGGAGCAAACATCGAGAGTCAGCAAATAGGGTATGAGACAAAGGAGGAAAGCAAGAAAGTCTTGTATTTTTTGCGTTTTTCAACAAATAAATAAGAATGAATTTCTCAACTTCCTCAGTCGTGTTTGTTTTTATTATCTGAGAATATGGAAGAATTTGGGATTTGAATCTCAGTTCACTTTATATATTTCCTTTTCCTTCCTTTCTTTTGTTTCTTGGTTGCTCTACTAATCTGTTTCTTTCCATGGCTTGTCCGTAAATAATATTGAGAGAAATAATATTTATTGGTTGTATCCTTGTTGCATTTATGTTTTCTTTATTTATTTGTTTCCCTCCTGTTCTGTAATAGACCATGTGAATTTGGATTTCTTTTCCATGGTTTTCTTTCAAGTTCCCATTCTTCTAGTCGCACATTTTTTTTTCTATATTCTATTTTGATGAACCGAAAATCTTTGGTTAAACTATTTCAGCAATTGTAATTTTATTTTTTTTTAGAACTTGTGTATAATTAAAAAAGGTTTCTGCTTTGGTGATGATATGGATATTTATGGAATAGTTTGAGTGATGACATAGATATTTATAAAATAGTTCTTGTTTTCTATGATCCAAAATAATCACTAGCATATCTTTAAGTTTCTTTCTAAAAAAAGTCAATTTCGTTTTATTCATGAAATTTTTAGGATTTGCTGTTATTTATCCTTAGGAATGCATTAGATAGAAGGAAAAGGAAAAAAAAAAAAAAAAAAAAAAA